GAATAACTAACTAAATAAATACAAAACAAAACAAAAACACACAAACAAAATCTCAAAATCATCTTTTCCTCTTTGTGCTTCTGACCTTTCTGTTGTTTTCACCTCCTTCCTTATAATCCCTATCCAATTACGTGAAGGAGCTAAACTCGCTCCTTCCCTTCTTGAACACCTATTCACTCATTAAACCAGCAATCAAGCTTCAACTCTTCCTACTTACCTGAAGCTGCTTTCTAGAGTGTCTCCCGTGACCACCCGTTTCTTCAACACCACAGCTGACACTCCAGCCCTCCTCCTCTGCTCTCTGCAGCCTACAGTGGAACTTGCTATACTTTGTGGCACTAAGAACATCTTTGTTAACCAATTTAAGTATAGCTGGGAATAAGGTATGGCATATATTAATCAATCATCAATTAATCAGACCATTCATTCTTTCTTCAAAGTCATCCTCAAACACGGTTTGAAATACCCACTTCCCTGGGTTTCGTATAAACCACTGCAATCTTCTAATTAAAAAAAAAATTAAAATAAAACAAACAAAACAAAACAAAAATAATGACAAGAAAAACCCTTCTCTTATTTTCCTCTCTGACCTTATTTGCTGTCTTTATTCCCTAAAAGAAAGCTCTTTCAGAGTTACTCCCTCAGTCATCCCCTTCATGATATTACTGTGAAAATCATTTTAAAATCCTGCCTGTGCCCACAGCTCACCTTCTTAAAACATCCTTCTTCTCCATCTCTTCAAGTTGTGTTTATACTCTGAGAATCAGCTCAGATGGATCCTACTAATGAACCCTTTTCTGATAAAACCACTGTGTAAGGATATTTCCTCCTTTAAATTCTTAAAACTTTTGGGCGCCTGGGTGGCTCAGTTGGTTAAGCGACTGCCTTCGGCTCAGGTCATGATCCTGGAGTCCCGGGATCGAGTCCTGCATCGGGCTCCCTGCTCAGCAGGGAGTCTGCTTCTCCCTCTGCCCCTCCCCCCTCTCATGTGCTCTCTCTCTCATTCTCACTCCCTCAAATGAATAAATAAAAAAAAAACCTAAATAAATAAAATCTTAAATTCTTAAAACTTTTATCTAAACTGTGGCACTCATTCTTGTTTTCATTTTTCACTCATTTTTCATTCTTGTTTTGTTGCATTATAAGACCAACTTTGTGCAATGTGGTATAGCAGAGGTCTTGGGCTAACTCATCGTTTACCTGAAACTTTGTGCCAGTTGATGGGTGACTTCCCTCTCCCGACAGTGCCCAGCCCCCAGCAACTGCCATTCCACTCTACCATGGATTTCACTGGACACCTCACTAAGTGTTGGGTTTCCTGTCACATCTTCTTTCACTTAGTGTCATGTCCTCAAGGTTCCTCCAATATTGTACCTCAGTCAATGATACTGTGCTATACACCTGAAAATTTGTTAAGTGGGCAGATCTCATGTTAAGTCTTTTTACCACAATAAAATAATAAAATAAGATACAAGTAGAGGGGCGCCTGGGTGGCTCAGTCGTTGGGCGTCTGCCTTCGGCCCAGGTCGTGATCCCAGGGTCCTGGGATCGAGCCCCACATTGGGCTCCCTGCTCTGTGGGAGGCCTGCTTCTCCCTCTCCCGCTCCCCCCGCTTGTGTTCCCTCT